TACGGTGGGGGGCTGGGGGGAGGGGGCGGAATCTCTGGCCCAGGGAACATCCATTCTTAATCCGTGAGTAATGCGAGAAGATAAAAAACACTTTTGGGGAGAAAATTAAGTAAGCGCACACTCCGCTTGTCAATCAAATGTTGTCTTATGCTCTCGATGAGGTTTAGACACCCATCCTCTCTCAAAAGCCACTGTACAGGAGAGCAAGTCCTTCTCTTCACCAATCCCAGGAAGTCAAGACTTTTGATGCGTTTAACGCAACAGTTTAGTTAGAGTAACCCATTTTGAAAAGGAAAAAAAAAAAAAAAAAAGGAAGGGGGGGGGCAGGACACGACACACGAGTTAGGCAAACCTTAATAACTAGAATATTCCATTAGGCACCCTCTGACAACAGCTAGCATTCCCTTTGCAAATAACCGAGTAACAAAATAAAAGTGAATATTGTTCAGGGGGAGGAGGAACCACAGGGGAAAAAAGAAAAGGAACACGTTACCGTACCATCCAAGTCTTTTTACATCTTTCAGAATTTCCAACCAGTACATCCACGTTTTATTAGCACAATTCCAAAACCAGTTTGATGGTAGGAGGGTATCACAGTGGTACCGTATTATCTCGGCTCTGGCTTTGATGAATTAAAGCCAAAGCGTTACACCAAGGAGAGCAAGCGCTACTACTTAAGATCAATGACAAAAGATAAACAACTTGAAAGAATTTCTCACCACAAGAAAGAACTGCAACAAACAACTGAAAAGCATACACAACCCGACTGAGACTAGGTGGTGTCTCCTCCTCCTCTGTCTTAAATTTCAGTTCAGTTCTTTCCCACTCCCCAACTTCCCCCTCATAGCACTCGCAATGAGTAAAGAAAACAGGATGCTGCTGCTGTTGCTCAGTGGGCTACCTCTGACAAGCAGCTACATGTTCTGAAAAGCAAAGCATCAAATCCGATTTTCAAAACGAACGCGTCACAAATATCACTGTCAGAGAGAAGCTCGCGCATGGAAAACACAGCTTGCTTTTTGTAACGCCCATCACAGGACGCTTCTAACCACCAACGTCATAAAACAACAGAAGAAACACTTTTTAAACATGGGAACCCAAGAACACTTTCCCATACATGACTTTTAAACCTTACTTTTGCGGCAGCCGATACAAACACTTACTTAATAGCGGTGGTCATACTCTGTGCTTGCTGTTGAGTGCCGTTATTGATTGTGTTGGCGTTTTTCAGCTGGTTCATCTGTTGCTGAGTTTGTGTGCCTCCACCTCCTGGGCCCCCGCTGGGTTTTACAGGGCCTCTCAACTGCCCATTCTGACTGGATAGACCCATTATAACAGGGTTCTCTGTTCTGGCCGTGCTCATGTTTTTATTTTTAAAGATGTCTTTTTAGACTTCAAAACTTTGAAAGTCAGTACAGAAACTGTAATAACAGTTTATTAGACTCTCCAAAACGAAGAGATAAATAAGTCTTGCTCAATATATGAGTCCTTTATTGCAATGCAGGCAAGCACCTGTAAGTCACTCAAAAGTAAAGTAGTAACTTGCTCTGATGCACTGTGGATCAACTTTTTTTTAAAAAAAGCCCTCTAACAAAGTTGAGTTATATCAGAATTCACTTGCTTCAATCTGAAAGAGAAGCAGACAATAACAATTAGTATGTGGATTTGTGTCTACAAAAATCACATCACTTTACCTTTGTATTTTAAGAACCGCTTCTTCCCAGGCAACCGTGCGACAACAGTACTTGCTTTTCCGTTTTCTCTGCAATGATTATCATGACACGCGTCAAGCTTTCCCCCCACCACCACCCTTTCTATAAAGCTGTGCCCGCCACCTTCAGTCAAAGACAAGTTTCTAAACAGCTGCACTTTCACTAGCCTTCCAGTGAACAATCCCTTGAAAAATACTGCTCTCCCCCAAGCCACCCGGTAAAGTGAGCTTGAATTATATCAATTGCTTTGCTGGTTCTTGAAGTTCCCCCACTTCTGGGACACAGCAAAGCAGCCCTAAAACGCTAAGCAACAAGGTTATGCTCAAGTTTGTGACAGGAAACAAGACCACAACATTGAGCGGACATTCCAGCTCGAGCTGACAAAACCCTTAAGTTACTCGGATCATCACTTCCAAAAGGAAAGAGAAACTACTAACCTTTTTTATTTAACAAACAGACAACCGACCAAGCCCCCCAAAAACAGCTTACCCTCCTCCAACCCAAAAAGTTAGTTCAACCAGCTTATTCAAACTTTTAAATCGGGTATTGATTTAACACCATTTGTAATAGCGAAACTAATGATACCATCAAGCTTGAACTGACAGTGGCTTCCTGTTTTGTTAAGTCCAAGTGACTGAGCCTAAACTGAAGCAGTGAGTAATATACATTTACCCCAGATATCTAGCTTCCTGCTTATGTGTTCCACATGACGTTACCCTCCAGCTGTCAGTAACAACTCGTATTGCGCTCAAAAGACGGCATTCTGTACACGACTTAATATTGACAGTGTATTTAACAGAAAGGTTAGCAAAACCGTAAAGGGATAATACAAAGCCTGCACCTCACATACAGAGAGTAAGCATGGCCCAGAGCTGAAAAAGTCCTTATGATGATCCTAAGGAGCCAAAACATTCCTAGTCCGAAACCTTTCGGAAACAACAAACTAGGCTTGCCTGTACAGTTTCTCACAGCAACGCATCTGTATCTTGGGAGAAGGCAAAGGAAAAGCCAGCGGACTACTGCTTCCTAACTTCAGCGTCCGCAAAAAATGCCCATTTCCCCAGTGAATAAAAGGCACGTTCGAGAGCATTTCAACAAGATGGAAAAGGAAGTCAGACTTTTCCCAGACTTCCCAGCTGTTTCCATGCGTATCAATTCTAGCTCCACAGCAAAACTTTAAAGTTTGCAGAACTAGGATTTTTTTGTCAGTTACCTTCTCGATGGGAAGCACTGTTTCAAGGCATCTTCGAAGAGAGCTTTCTCCGGCCCATTAACTTTGTAAAAACCGGACGAGTCACAAAAGTAAACCCCGAGTTCTCCTCCAATATTGCAGGAGACGGAACCCCTCAGTTAGACCCGGATACCAACCCCGAGTTCTCCTCCAATATTGCAGGAGACGGAACCCCTCAGTTTCCCTTAACCTCCCTCGCTCGTAACTACCCTTTAAAACGATAGAGATTAAAGGAGAACGCACAGCCCCGGCGAACCCAGCAGGTCTCCCCGTTCCCAGAGGAGAAGCGCCACCATTTCGCAAACCGGCGGTCCGACGGAGAAAAAGCCCCCCATACCACGACTCTGCCCTCCAGGCGCAGACCACGTAGGCGGGCGGGCCGGCGGCCG